GATGCTCTCCGGCTCCTGCATCCCGCCTGCCGGCTGGTCCCCGGCACGCGTTGCCATGGAGACGCAGCATCCTCTCGCGCGGCGCGGCGTTCCAAGCCCGGCGGGGCGGCTGGAGGGCTCCGATTGCTGCTGCTGCTGCTTCGCTCTGCAAAGCTTTTTATGGCTTTGTAGTTCTCCTCGCGTGCGATTCAATAGGAAGCGGGGCTGGGCTGGGCACTCTTCATTCGTACGGTTGGGTGGGGTCTTGTATGGTATTCTGGTTTTACGCTACCGTGCCTTGCATTTCTTGGATTTGACTTGTATTGTTTTATAGAGTTCGACTTTTTAACCAAAGCAGAGTGTTATTTGTATTTTTAACTGCTTTTGAGGTTTTATTTTAATCGTGAGCCGCCCAGAGTCTCCCTCTGGGGGAGATGGGCGGCATATAAATTTAATAAATAAATATTGTGTTGTGTTTATTTATTCGACTTGTCCAGCTGCCCATCTCGGCAAGTGACTCTGGACGGTGAACGATCTTAAAATGAACTAAAAACGAATGGCCATTGTGATTTTATTTTGCTTTGGGTTTATTTATTTGCCTTGCATTTATTTATTTTATTCAACATTTATTTAGTTAGTTAGTTAGTTAGTTAGTCGACTGGTATGGCTGCCCATCTTAGCTAATGACTCTTGGCTGCGAACAATCTTAAAATAAATTGAAAACAAATGACAACTATAAATACCAAAATTAAAAGAGACAGCAGCCAAGGAGGATGTCACAATCAACAGTGGTTAGCACAACCAGGAGACGGGCCCCAGGCTTTAATTGCTGGAAGCCACCCAGAGTCCTGCCTTTGAGATGGGTGGCTCTGTAAATTGAAGTACTAAATAGATATACTTTATTGCAGATATACTATGCCTATGCTTTATGTGCCTTTTTGCAGGGTGGGGTGGGGTTTCAAGTCTGCGTGCTGTTTCCTGGCGACTGCCAGGACAAGCCCCTGCAGATTTCTTGGCAAGATTTTCAGAAATGGTTTGCCCTGGCTCCTTCTTCCTAGGGCTGAGAGAGAGGGACTGGCCCAAGGTCCCCCATTTGGCTTTGTGCCTAAGGTGGGACTAGAACTCAGAGTCTCCTGGTTTCTACCCTGCTGCTTTAAATCACTACACCAGTCTGGATCCCCCCCCCTTTTTTTTTTTTTTTTT